CATCTCGACATTCTTTATCAATTTATCGAATATTGTAGTAAATAAAGCTTTGGTCGATAAATCTGCTAAATTATCATTGGATCGAATTTGCAGCACATCTATTCCACTATTTTTTCTGAAGATTGTGAGTAAAGAAAATTTAGGTTAAATATATTTCGTTCTATCTCCCTTGACATATCCTCATTTTAGTTGCGCTATACAAGTTGCATTATTTTTGTATAAAATAATAAGAGGATCATCATTTTCAAATCTCAAATTAGAATTCTTTAAAACGTGGTGAGTCATTGATCTCAACCAGACACATTCTCGAGCAACATCATGAATTGCTATTATTTCAGCATGATTCGAAGATGTGACAATTAATATTTGTTTAGTGGATCTCTAGGATACCATTGTACTACCACAAATAAATATATAGCCAGCTTGAGATTTGACTCTATGCGGGTCAAAAAGATACCAAACATCTGATTATTCAATTAATTTATTTCGAGAATTCTTTGAATATAATAAACCGAGATCAATCGTTCTTTGGAGATAACAAAAAATATGTTCAATGTCTTTTCAATATCGTTGTATTCCCATTGCACTAAATCTAGCTAATAAATTTACAGCGAATGATATGTCTGGTCTTGTACTGTTAGCCAGATACATTTTTGCACCAATAGCACTTAAATATGGTACTTTAAGACCAAGTGCTTCCTCAATCTCTTCTTTCAGTCTAAAAGATCCTTAATGGTTCAACAATTCTAATAACTATTTGAGTACTTAATGAATATACTTTACAAATTGAAAATCGTTTTAATACCTTTTGGGTATATGCAGATTGATGAATTAAAATTTTACTTTCTAAATGTTCAATTTATAGACCAAGACATAATTTTTTTTTTCCTAAAATCCTTGATTTCAACGTTGAAATATTCAATAGCTTCTTGGACCTCTTAACGAGTTCCAATTAAATTTAAGTCATCCACATAAATAACTATTATCACAAAATTTCTTTTTTGTTTTTTTTGTTTTTTTAATAAAAGCATATGGTCAAACAAAATCATTGATATATCCATCTTTCAATAGTAATTTACTGTGACGATTATACCATATGTGACCAGATTGGTTGAACTTAGACAAATAATTTTGTAATTTAATAGAATAACATTCTTTGGCTTTGATTTGTATTCTTCAGGTATACTGAATCTTTCATAAATTTTCATATAGATATTAGTATCTAATGGACCGTATAAATAAGTAGTTACGACGTCTATCAGACGCATATCCAATTTTTCATGAATTGTCAAACTAAGAACATACCGAAATGTTATTCCATTAACTATCGGAGAATATGTTTCATTAGAATCAATTACAAGTCTTTGTGAAAAACCTTGAGCTATAAGTATTGATTTATATATGACAATCTCATTATTCTCATTTTGTTTTCGAATGAATACCCATTTATTATAGCCAACAGGTTTAACATCTTTTAGTGTTTGTACAATGGGTCCTATAACTTTTTGTTTTTCTAGTGAATTTAATTCAAACTGGATCACGTCTTTCTCTTTTTGCCAATCTTTTCTTTTCCGACATTCATTACTGATCTAGGTTCAAGATCATCGTCATTTTTTATAAGTCAAGTGCTATATTATATGCAGAAGCATTATAGATAATTATGTCCTTTCGGTTCCAATGCTTTCTAATAGTAGCATAATTTATTGAATTTTCAATAACATCATTCTCTTTATGAAATTTTTTATCCTGATCAACTTATTCAGGAAGTTTATTAGAATCAACTTTTTCAGGAATATGATCCATGTTACTACTTGTTTCATGAAGATTTTTATTAATATTCAAATCCTCAACCCTTTCATTTATTCTTTTTTTCTTTTTTAAAGATAATTGTCTTTGGGATCTAACGGTTCGCCACGCTTCAGGTGTGCATTCAATTTATTAACACTTTATATTTGTCCTTCAAGGACAATAATTTTAATAGGTGCATTATTTACAGCTATATGTGATCTAGTGACTCTGCTGGCGTCACAAAAAACATCAGGTAAATGATTTGATATTCACTGCAAATCTATTATTCATTGCAAATCTAATTCACTTTAGCTATCACGAGGAGCAAGAAAATTGAAAGGTACTTTCCAAGTAATTTCCTTTCTCAATTGCTTCCCCTAATGTCGGAAAATGTGGCTCGTCAAAATGACAGTCAGCAAATCAAGCCGTAAATAAATCACCAATTGATAGTTCAAAATATTTTATAATAGATGGTGATTCATATCTGACATATATCCCCAATCTCAATTGGGGGCTTATTTTTGTGCATTGGGGTGGTGCTACTGGTACATAAATTGCGCATTCAAACATTCACAAATGTACTGGGGAGTAGCTATGATATCTTGTCGGTCCTAATTTTTTCAGTGTTAGTGCATGTAAAATGTCATGTACCCAAGTAGATACTAGATGTTTAGATTTTGTTAACATAGGTCCTGCAATTAATTACAACGTCTTTATAAGTGATTCAACTAGCCCGTTTTGAGTATGTATATACGGTACAAGATGCTCAATATCAATTCCCATAGACTTGTAATAATCATCAAATGTCTTGGATGAATATTCACCAGCATTATTAAGACAAAAATTTCTTTATTGAATGATTTGAAAACTATGCTTGTAATTTAATTATTTGAGCAAACAACATCGCAAATGTCAAATTTCGGGTGGATAATAAACATGCATACGTAGGGATGGCAATGGGTTGGGTCTGACCAGACCCAAGCCCCGACCCAAAAAAAAGTATATGGACCCAGGACCCGAATCAGATCCGATTGGACCCGGACCTGACATGTTTAAAATTTTTTACTACAAACAAGACCCGAACCCGAACCCGGACCCAACCAACCTAAATAATTATCTATTTATTTCAAATAATTATAAAAAAATCACAATAAATATATAATCAACAACAACAATAATAATTCAATCGTAAAAATATATCTCAGTTATTGCATATTATGATTTATGAAATAACCAAACATGCAATCTTTTGTGCATTCATCGTTCAAAGTTAAAACACATGAACACATTAAGTCACTCATCACAACATAAAATAATAATAATCTTCATTGTTCATCATCATCTCCATCATCGTCAAATGCTTTTGAGCCTCCAGAAGTCAAATTGTCACCTAAAATAATAAATCAACAAATAATATAAGTCACACAATATAATAAGATATAAATATATTAATTAAAAATATATTAAAATCAACTTACTATTTGCTTCATTCCATAACAAATTTCGAGCACATACTAATGTTTCCAAAGTGGAATGATTAAGTCTACTACGATGAGGGCTAATAATTCTTCCACAATTATGAAATGTAGATTCGGGAACAACCATAGAATTGGAATAGCCAAAATATCCTTTGCCATCTTATGTAAATAAGGGAACTTGACGCCATTCATCTTCCACCAATTCAATATATCAAAATTGTGTTGGTGGTGAAACACTTTCTTCCAATATATATCCAACTCTGACATCGTAGAAATCCTAGAAGAATCATTCATACTTGCCACAAAGTGATCATATTTCTTCAATGGATCTAGATCAAATGCATTAACAGAAACAAGATTATACATAAAGATATTTATTAACATGTGTTAGAAAAAAATAAGGACAACCTAACTTAGGTTTCTCCTCTCAGATAATAATCTCTTCGCGATGTAATGCACTCTTGACAAAATTACTGTTTTTTTCTCTCTTAACTCGTGTATCACTCAACATAGGTGTTCTCACCAATTTTCATGCACGCTCTCAATCTCGGAAGATCTTAGAAAAAAATCTCTATTCGAGGCCTAAGCAATCAATACATAGTATATATTTGCATTAACTCCAAAGACAAACATATAAAATAATAAATATGGATATATTAGAAAACAAAATTAAGAAAAAAGGATAGGAAAAGAAAGGAAATGAGATAAGAATATTGAGAAATATATTAATATTATATAGAAGACAAAGGAAATATAATATTCTCAAACCAATTTTCGACTTTTTTTTTTCAAATTTTTTTCAGCTTTTTTTTTCTTGTAATAACTTTTGTTTTTGTTCTATTTTTTGTTCTATTCATTTTTCTTTGTTTTCGGACTATTTTTACTTTTTTGGGATTTTTTTTCTTTTCAAATCAGAAACGTGATAACAACCACAAGATTGTATCAATTATCTCTGAAACTAGATGATGCAAATGTAATTGAAGGAATTGGAAACTCGCAAATCACAGGAAATAAAGAAACAAAAGATGCTGAATTTGGTGGAAGAATAGAAATGGAAGAAGATGGATAGAAGGATAATCTGGCTTCTCGATCCACAAGGTTGGTCGGATAGATATCCTGTGAGAACTATGTAGCACACAACACAAAATTTCTAAACCAAACAAGGAATGAAGTTGACACAACAAGCAATCCAGCACTCATTGAGTGGCAACGAACTTTCTCCAATCACTGAAAAATAACCAAATTTTAAAACACTACTGAAGATTGTATCGTACAATCCCAAATAATCAAGCAAACAAGAATCACTATTAAAAACAAAAAAAAAATAAAAAAATATAAGCAATATAGAAATAGTGTGTTTTTACAATGATAAACAAGACTTTTATATAGAGTCCCTTGAGGGTAGAAGAATGAAAACATTAGAAAATAAGAAATTTTTTTTAAAAAACAACATCTAAAGTAGGAAACATAAAAAGAAGGAAACAACTAAACAAGGAAGCTAGTGAAAAGAAAATAAATTTAAAGGCAGCTCCTAAGTAAGGAAATAACTAAACAAGGAAAAAATTTAAGGGGAAGGATCATGTGCTGATGGTATAACATAATTCAGCAATGCTGAATTAAATCTTCACCATTCATTATAATCTAACGACCGTAATTAATCAAGGGTATTTTTGTCTTTTCATTAAATTACTTTCTTCTTCTCTGAATCGATTCTTGCCCTTTTTCTTCTTCCTTGTGCGCTGAATCGAGCGATTCTCTCGTCATTCAGATTCTCTCAACCGCCGGCGAGTCCTCTGGTACGAATCCAACATCAAACTCTCAATCTAATTTTGTTATGTGCCATAGACATTTGATTCATAATCTTCTTGCAGCGAACTCCAACACTTCGATCAGATTTCTCACTCAAACTCAGGTTGTGTAATTTGTATAATGTGTTTATTGTGTTTTCTAATGTATTTCAATCTTAAGAAAATTTGCAAACTAAGTTTGTATAATGTATCTTTAGGGAAGAAGTAGCGAGTATATCTGCGTATTTCTACATTAGGGTTGTTGGAGCTATAATGTAGAAGGGATGCCTTTTTTCCTTTTTATTTTTGGTCTTCTTTTAAGTCTAGTGTGATACAAGAAGTCGTATATGTGGTTACATATGATATGTGCGTGTATAAGTTCAACCCTTTGATGAATTAGGGCATCAGAGCGTTGGGTTTCCCATTACTGGGTTGGTTTGAGTACAAATCCATTTAAGATAACACCAGAAACAGAGAAGTAGGGGACATAGGTAGTTGGGGAAACTGCATATAACATGACAGGACTAATGGTAGCAGCATGTGATGTGAGTTCATTGCAAAGCTAACCGGAGTCTGCACATCTTTATGAATTCATGACAACAAAAGATATCTACAAGAAAGTAAAAATGTAGTTAGTTTGCTGTGTTGCAAGAAGTTGGTATTCGGGTGTATAGTGTATAGATACAGGTTCATTATTCAGGTAGCGTTCATTAAGTATTCAATTTTGATACTGGACATTACTATTGGGTGATACTGGTATCGTTCAATGGACAATTAGTCAGAAATTTTTGCTGTTCAAGATTCATGTTTTGTGCATATTTTTGTGTTTTTAGCAGTAATACTGATTACTGATATTCATCATTGATATTTTGATTGGTGTTTTTATGTACATGGCCTTCCTTCTACATGAATTTGTAATCAATATACAGCCAAACAGCCAAACAGCCAATTATAGTATACTATACTATTAGTACAATCTACTCATTCTTGTTCTCTGTTGCTTTATTAATATCTCAAAATGCATATGTATTTTGAACAAATCTTGGGATTGGGATTGGGATTGGGATTGGGATCCCAATGTGAGAAGAGAACAAATTAAAAATGAGTTAAGAGGTTAGATACAAATAGCTAGCTAGCTAGCCGACGTGTAAAGCAGCACATTGGAAACACTAGTTTTGGGATTTCCAATTAGCCCCAAATTAAACCAACCCTCATATTTCAATAACAATATACTATTAATTGAATCAAATCTAAGCCGACCTAAGTCTAGGTCAGATACACACAGCAACAGTGAGTACAACATACATACATCATGCATATGTATGTACATGCATCACAGAATCCAATAATGCATCCACAATAATAGTTTAAACTAATTAAGACATACTACTTCACTTGCATTATATACTCTTATTATTATTATTATGCATATTATTACTGTTACAAAGCTCCTCGATGGATCATTTTTGTTCAAACTGGCCATGTGGCTGTGCACCTTTTTATGAATATCAGTTGAGGCCAGCAGACAAAGGGTGGGTATGGTCCAAATTGATATTAAATCTCAGGTGGAGTAATAAAAAATAAAGAAAAGGTATAGCGATAAAAAAGAGATAGAGTAAGCAGTAGCACTAGCAGGAGCAGCTTTGGCATCAGATGTCCTATACTCTCAAAGCGAGCTGCACTTGAAATTGTTTGATTGTTGAAACTCTATTTTTTTCGATTTGATATTTCTTGCTTCAGCTATTCCCAGAGAATAGCAGCGGAGACCCACCCCAGATGTCCAACAACGAAGAAAAGCTGAGGCTTAGTAGTCAAGCCTGGCCTGGTCTTGTTCAACTATATCCGAGAGAAGCATTTCATGATTTTATGGCCCCCGTGCAGCTCTTGCGAGCATCATCCTTTGTCTGGCGAACGATTGTCCTTGGTCGGGTGCTAGGGCCATAAAATCATGAAATGCTTCTCTCGGCTGTAGTTGAACAAGACCAGGCCAGACTTGACTACCAAGCCTCAGCTTTTCTTCGTTGTTGGGCAGCTGGGGTGGGTCTCTGCTGCTATTCTCCGGGAATAGCTGAAGCAAGAAATAACAAACCGAGAAAAAAAAAGTTTCAACAATCAAACAATTTCAAGTGCAGCTTGAAAATTACTATCTCGGCATAACAAGTAGCAAGTTAAGCAAATCCGATTTTAAAGTTCCATGACTATTTGTTCCTCGCGCAATCCATGTAAATTAAAACGCGAAATTCGGCCTTGTAACAGTATACTATTTTGCAAAGTTTAAGTTCACAGCGTACCTGAAGGTATGTGTTCCTAGAAGTGTTGCATGATGCTGGCTCAGATTCCATGACTGATTCTCCCTTGTTGATAGCAGCAGTAACTGATCGAGAATTGTTGTCTCGGCACTGAGATCCAACTTTCTTATTTCTCACTTAAGTACTTCATCTTATTTCATTTCTAGCTTTACAATTTCATCTTAACGGTAGTGAAAAGCCACATACATAATGGTATTGTATTTTTTGAATTATGATATATTTCTACTGATTGTGTTATGTTTAATTTTGTATTTTTACATGGGAGAAATGGCTAAACATGAGTAAAATAGCAAAATTGAAAAAGCTGCTAGAGTCTGAAAATAAGGAAGTGTTTAGATCCTATATTGAGAAGTCATGTTTTGAGGGTCTTCTATATGTTAGGAAAACAAAAATAAATAGTGAGCCACTGCTTCAGTTAATGAAAAATTGGAACACCGAGAAAAAGTGTTTTGTTTTTTTAGATGGGACGGAATGGCATATTACCGATGATGACGTTGCTCGAGTATATGGACTTCCGCATGGATTTGGGAAAAGTATCATATCTTTAGTAAAGCCTTCAAACTATTATAGCGAAATTCATGAAATTAGCCAACGCTTTGAGCTTGATACAAGAAATTCGACAGTAGTCCAAAATTGTTGGTTATCAGAGATATTACAATCTTCTAGATTGCACCGTCCTGTTGACTTTTGGAGATTTTATATCCTATATTCTTTGTCGACGTTATTAATTCCATCAACATCTCCATGTATCAATAATCGATTCTTGAGGTTCCTTGTATCTCGTAAGGATGCTTTAAGATATAATTGGGCTGCTGTTATAAAAGACAAGTTGGTTGATCCAATTCACAATTTTAAGTGTAAATTGGTGGATAACAAAAAACCGACTTGTAGACTGACATGAGATACGCATTGTCTTATGGTAAGTGTTTGAAATGCGTAAATATAGTATGTACATACATATTTTTGTATTTTTCTCTAATCTTTTTGTTATTTTCAGCATTTATTTTACGATCTAATCGATCGTAAAAATTTGGGGACTAGGAGCTTTACTTGCTCTTTTAAGAGACACATGCGCTTGGCTGATGTGACTCAACGTTTTGGGGAGCTTCCAAATGAAACTCAAAATAAATTAGTTGAGGAAAATAAGGTATGTGTTACATATTATATTGTAAAGTATATGTTACATATTATATATATGGTGATGGACTTGTAAAATTCCAAATGGTATATCTAAATAGGCATCTTGTTTCCCAACATGTAAGACTAGAAGGTTTTTTTATTCCTTACATTGAATACCTGAAGTTTATTTGAGCTGATTTTGTGTAGAGGACATTATTGTTTTTTCTCTGCCATATGAAGTCTAAGTATATATTTTTGCAGTACAAAATTAAAAGATAGGGGTTCTACTATGTTAAGAACTAATATAGTATTTTTATTTTTAAGGAAAATGAAAGTGCTTTTCACTCAGGGGATAATGTGGAAAATTCAAAACAAGCCTATGAGCGCAAGAAGAAGCATTGATTTTGAAGTTGGATACCTTAAAATGTGAAGCAAATGAATTAAATGAGAAACTTTTAGCTGTTAGACAAGAGATTGTAGAAACTGAGGATGAGTTGTATTCTCTTGTTGCTGATATATTGAAAAATGAAGCATTGGCTAAGAAAAATCAACAGAAAGATGATCATGCGGAAAAGGTAATTTATATTGAATGAAATTTAATATTAAATTATTTAATTTTTTATATACTTACTGATTTTTTTATATATATTGATAATATTTAATTTGTAGACTCCTTGCAAAGCTACAGTTGATGAGGCATCCATTGACACAGATAGTTCAACCCACAATGAGGTTTTGTTATCTGATTTGTGATATTTGTTTATTAGTTTTGATATTGTTATTAGTTGTATTTTTAGGTTTGTTATGTGGAACAATAAGTCTGTTATATGGAATAATAAGTTCGTTATATGATATTTAGGTTTTTTTTATATAATTAAAATTTATTAATTAGGGCTAAGATACCATTATTTGATGTCCGATAAGGTATATTATGCACTATTTTTTGAAACTATGATATTTAAGAACGATCATTTGCTCCAAAATTATTTGTTCTATATTCTATATTCAACAGATGATATGGAGATTCCTATGGATATGGTAAATGAGAAAATATAATTTTTTGTTGTATTTTGTTATTGTGTAAATATAATTTTGTTATCTGATTTGTGATATTTGGTTATTAGTTTTGATATTATTATTAGTTGTATTTTTAGGTTTGTTATATGGAACAAGAAGTCTGTTATGTGGAATAATAATTACTGACCATCGAATATATTTGTAGATTCCTTGCGAAAAAACTGTTGTTCTATCTTCAATGGGTGACATGGAGATTCTTATGAACAATATGGTAAATGAACAAATATAATATTGTATTTTGTTATTATGTAAATATTGTTTGTTGATATTATGTATTGTTTATTTTCTAGAATTTTGCTGGACCAAGTTTTTCATTGGGGTTGAGTCAATCGTCTGGTGAAAAAAACATTGTTGATCCTACACTCGAAAATGAAAAGGTGATGCATTGTATATGATTGCACTACTTTGTAGTATATTTTAGAATTTTTTTCATAACAGTTTTCTTTTTTTCTAGACATACAATGAATGTCAAGAGGATGTTGTAGCTGCTACTCTTGGTCCATTTAGTGCTACTGAAGAGCAACTTAGACTTCAATTTAAGAATCAAAACTTTGATGAAGAAGACTACATTGTATGTGATTTTGCATGTTTATAATATATATTTTTTCATTATGCAATGATGTTTATTATTATTCTTATTATTTTTTGTTTAGGGTGTTGAATCGCCAATCGACACAAGGCAGCAAAGGCAATTTATTGCTTCAAGGGTGTTTAGATCACCATATTCTTGCTGTTAAAAGTGTCCAAAAAGCTTGTCATCTCACTAATATTGAGGAGTCAGTAGTGACTTGGATATGGGGTTTATCTGATCGTGAAGCTTATGGTGAAACAATTGTGTCTGATGGAAATAGCTACATGCATATCGAAGAAATACAAAGCTTAGCACCAGGGCGATATATTATAGACACTGCAATTGATTGTTATGCTCATTTTCTTAATCGGAGAGAATTTGAAAGGGTAAACACAGATAAGAAGCCAATGACTCGTTTTTTCTTTCCAAGTATATTGGCGGTATGAATTATTTAGTTTAATATATTTATAATTTATATTACTATATACTTATTTTTTATTGACATATTTATATTTTAATTATCAACAGTCAATTACACTACATGAAGTACAAAATAAACGTCTAGTGTCGGATAAAGAGGCAATCATTTAATCATAGACTCCGTACTTCAAAAAAATTATCTTGGAAAAAATTGGAAGTGCGCATTTTCAGCTGATTATGTAAGTAAACGAGATTGTATTTATTTTATATAGAATTTTTTGTTATTTGACATTTGATATAATAGTTTTGTTATTTGAAAGTATTGGTTTGTTGTCGATATGTTACTTTGTTAACATAACTAGTTTGCATTACTAAAATATGATGTTGAGATGTCATTCATTAATCTGAAATTGTGGAAAATGTTGTATAATTTGATATCTGACATAACAACTTTGTTATCTGATAGTTTAGTTTGTTGTTGATATGTTATTTCGTTAACAAAACTAGTTTATGTTACTTAGATATGATGCTGAAGTGTCATTCATTGATCTGAAAGTGACTTTTTTATTTTGGTTGATCTTCAATGGCTTATTTTTGTTTATTTATTGATTTTTGTAGTTTTTCTTCCCTCACTGCCGACATGAACATTGGGTGCTCTTTTGTATTGATATACCAAGACATAAAATTTGGTATTTCAATTCACTTAACCCCAAAGAAGGTTGGATTACAGACAAGCCAACAATGAAAGTGTTGTGGTATTATTTTAGGACTATTGTTCGACATCATTCAGCTAATGACAGGTAGGAATGGAAGTCTTGAATATATTTTTCTTAAGAATTTTTTATAACGAAATACCAATCCTTGTTGTGTATTACAGGTGCGAAGGAAGTTTTGAATTTGTTTTTCCTAGTCATATCCCACAGCCAGATACCCGTTCTTGCGGTGTAATGGTGGCTTTATACATGGATTACTTCAATGGCCATATCGCAAATAGTGTATTTGAGCAATTCAAAGATGTGAATAATTTGAATGCAAAAAGAGCAAAGGTATGTGCGGAGTTACTTTTGTAAAATGCTAATGAAAAAAAATCTAATCTGTTGGACAGGTTAAGAATTTACAATGAACAAAATAAACATGTGAGGAAACAAAACTGTAAAGAGAATATATTTAGACGAAGATCAAGGCGGAAGTTGTGATTTTTTCAACCATTTGTAGTTTCTACTGGTTATTTTTTAAATGGACAAGTTGTATTAGTTGTTTCTAATTGTGGTATATTGTATTACTATTATTATAAATGGATATATTGTAATTTGGGATGGTGTGTAACTGAGGATATGCCTGATGGAGCCGCAATTGAATAAAGAATTGCTGAGAATGCACATGATGGTGATGAGAAAGTTGTGGCAGCATTAGCAGCAGAAGAACCAGCCTTTCATCAGATCGTGATTGCTGATTGCCAACAAACCAGAATTGCTTGAATGTGTTCGAGGCAATGGAGAATAGGCGGAAATGGAGCAGTTTCTATAGAAAATCGTCAGCGTATTAATAGGTGAAAATCTGTTTGCTAATTTTGGGGATTTTGTTTGTTAATTTCACAGCGCTATTGAATTCCTATGAAGGGAAGATCTTATAACGTATCAATTTTTGGTGTTTATGCGCGATGAATGCTGCTCCACCCTAGGTTTTAATTTGAAGTGGATTTTAATTTGCTGTTATGTATGCTTGTGTTTAAAGGATCTGAAGGAAGCGATTGTGAAGGGATTAGGATTGCAAACATATGATTTTAAGATATCAGGCTTCGATTTGAGAAATGCTCAGGTGGGGAAATCGGTAGCATATGAATTTGATGTGGAGATTGATAACAAAGTCATCCCATTCAAGCTCCGGGAAGATATAAAGCGTTGGGAGTATGTCGATTTGTCTATTTTCCAAATAGAGGATCCTATTAAGCAAAGCAATAAAAATGGATTGGTAGAGAGAAAACAAGTAGATAATCAGATGTCTGTTCTTGCACCTTTTCAATTGGCAGGTCCTATGGAGCTTTGGATTCAAGATGACATGAGAATCTCCTTACCTGTAAGTTTCTTCTCTTTGCTAATCCTTCTGTTTTGTGCAAAATGGAATCAAATTTTCTACAGTTCGTATTGTGAATCAACTTTGAAGTTAGACTTCTACAAACGGAAATAAAAAACACAAAATTTTAAACAACAATCAGCAACTTCTTCAATGATCTGTTCTTGATCCTTCTTATCAAACCGTACATTGTGCCAATTACTCTCTTTCAGTATTATGATCTGATAATGTAGACTGATGATATTTCTAATTCTGAAAATTGTCCACAGCATGATGTCGACGCTGGTGTGATGAAGAAAGTGATATTAGCCGGCGGTGCTGTCGTCACCGTCAAGGGTGCAAGATTAGTCAGCGTGTTAATAGGTGAAAATCTGTTTGCTTCACAGGGGGCTTATTATAATATCTCAGGTTCGTGCATCGTAAGCTCTGGTCTCGATCAACCTTAAGTTTAAATTGTGCAATAATTTGACTCTTCTTCAACAGGTTGAAAATAAATTTGGGGCACTGAGGATAGGTTCTCGGGCAATCGGCGATTCTTACATGAATTGGGTGGCAAAGATGGCTGTCGGATTAGATACCTCATCCACTGTTGCTTTAGATCTCATTCACTCCCGGGAGTTAGTCGCACGAAGAAATTCAAACCTTGTTGTGTGTGTGTCCTAGTTTGTAGCTTGTAATTTCTTATGTTGGTAACAGGGGAGGAAATGTTGATAACAATCTAAACCCCACATATTAATTTTGATTTTTATGTTGTTTAATCGTTAAGGCAAGACAATATTTGTATATTTATATATATATTTCCAGCGACGATGAGCTCGAGGGACCACATTTTCGGCAACATCTGCCATCATATATATATATATTGTATATATTGATTTCCTTCTCCACAAGAACAGGTTCAAATGTGTGAATAAAAAACACAAGACATGCACCAGAAACTTAAGCAACACACAAACCACACATAAAGCAATTAAGTTCAAAAATAGATTATAAATTGTGAGGCTTTACAGAAAATATCATCAAAATTGTCGTTCTGCTGAAGCAAGAAACTCTCCCTTTCCTTGTTCTGTGCCTCGTTAAATAGAGTAAGATCATCATTCTTCTCCAACGATCGAATCCCGCTTTCCAAACTCCGACAATAATTTAGGAGTGAAGAGAGCTACAAGAAGCGGGTATCTTCTCAGTCACGAGAATAAGTAGTTATTGTTGATTCGCCCATCGCAGTCCACATCGAACAGACCGTAAAGTCCATTAATCTGCAAAAACATTACAGACAACAGATTGAAAGGGTCGCTGCTGTTCTGTTATTATTACACAACTCAAAATAAATGCAGGTTGAGTTTGTCCCAAATACCAAATAACAATGAGAAATCTTCATCGCAGGAGATGCAAGCATGGCTGGACTCCACACCTCACAAATCAATTACCCCCACAAAGCTTCAATCAAATCCTTTCAGAACTTCAAACACGGTGAAGATCAAATAAACCAATCAGCTGCTAGTTTTCGAAACTACAAATGATTTAATTTTTACCCTACACCAAACCAAAGAACTCAAATCCAATTCACATTACCAAAAAGTGAATTGAATTAAATAACAGTGTGGATCAAGTACCTGCTCTCTCCATGAATAATCTTGCAACAATAAACATAGCTTCAGAGTACATATTAACAACTGCAATGCATAGATTTTGGCATGATAACAAACTGAACAAAATAACTTAGGGCAGCCGAGGAGGCCAAGGAGGAGCCTCAAATCCTGCCTCTTGGCTAGTCCCTAGATGCTGCTGTTGGAACTACTATATGTTGCTGCTTCTCTGTAATCTGAACCACTCTTTGATAAGTTCTCAGGAGCTCTCCTTCCTGGTCCCTTCATGATCCTCAATTCGTAACAAAATATTGAATAGAAAATAACAAATAACAAAGTTACAAATTTCTTTGTAACTTTGAATATTCAGACAATGCACCTATTCAAATTTGCACCATTTAGTTATCTAGATCCAAGATGAACACAACAACAATCAAAATCGAGTAAAACTTTTTTTTTAAAAAAAAAAGAAACATAAATCACTTCAAGCATACATAAAACTTATGTTCTAATTAACATATCAAAGTAAAAAATCAAGAACTGAAAGGACAACCAGATATTATATTCACAAATAAGGTTGTGAAACTGTAAAGAAAAACCATAAGATGGAACAAAAAAAAAAAAAAAAAACAGAAAGATTCATAACAGATTCTTAAAAATTATTTATTTATAAATTTTAAACCCATTGTAGGCATCAAACCCAAGAAATATAAAGGTCCAATCCTGTAAAAAAAAAAAAACCAACATCAAACTGTTAATCATAATTACTTTTAAAATATTAAAGAAGAAAAATAAAGACAAAAGCATAAACATCAAATATACTTCCATTTATATTCAGTGATGCATATTTGAGTGAATATCAAATTGGCTTCTCCCACTGCTCCAAGTCATCAACTTCTTCATAGTCTTGCAAATAGATTCTATCCAAGCCACAAATAACAAACCTTTATAACTATTTAGAATATCAACTAACAAACACAAAAAAAACCTTTATAACCCACAATCATTCATTCATTCATTCAGTCAAATGAGTCTGTCATATATAAACAGCATCTTCCACCTTCTCGTCACTCCTACGAAGATGCAAACCTATAAAAATATCAAAAAATTGTTAAAAATAATTATTTTTCATATATATATATAATAAAGTAAAAAATATAAAATCAAATGCACTTCCATTTATACATAAAAACACTTAATTTTTGTTTTCACCAGATGGAAACAACTCTAACTCTTTTGTGCCACTTGTGGATCCATTCAGTTTCTTCAATTTAGCCTTTTTTATGTCTCGAGCTTGTTTTGATATTGACACTAACCTCTTTCTGCCTTTCGAAGAAACTGCATTACTAATTTTTTTTCTCTTTTCCAATCCATCTTCTGTAATCACTTGATCAACATATTTGATGGTGTTATTTGTTGATTGGACAACATTTTTCACCATTCGGTGGAACTCAGAGACACAATTATCATAAAATTTCTTCTCCTTACTTATTATTCCAGCTGTACTTACCATCATCAAACAAAAATTTTTGTATCTTACATTATAATCCTCTCCCTCACTTTGATGATCAGAAATTGATAAATCTAAGCAAACATCTTTCTTTGCATCTTTAGTCCATCTTTTCAAGATATAATGGTTTGGGATAACCACAAAACTTTCCAAACCCATAGCATTATTAACATCCATTACTCTTAATGCATGACAGTATAAGATTCCTATATTGATGAACATATTGCAGTTACAATGTATTAGTTGTTGACCAAAGTCCACCATGACATTATGCACCTTGTCTTCATATTGATCTGAATTTGTTTTCTGGACAACATAGTGCTGAACATCAGTTTGAAAATCTGCATTTGTCACAACTTTTGTAATATATGCAAAAGATTTGTTGTACTCGTCATAAAAGATCTTGAACACTGATGGTGTGTAACAAACAACAACTGATGTAACCATCTTATTGTATAGAAAATTTGTTGCCTGTTGACGGTCACGAGCATAGAAGTCATGCAGCGCTTCTTCATTTCTTCGGCTATCAGCCACCCTTTCAAAATGACTGAAAAATTGTAGTAAATTGTGGTCCGGTTGCAAATACTTTTTTACAACCCCATTTACTGATTCACTAAGTTGGGTAGTTCTCATTCCTGCTGTGAATTGTTGCATCATCCATGCAGATGACCATTTATGCCTCAGTGTATGTATTGAAGATATCCATTTATGAGCCCCATTTGGAAAGCATGTTGATAGCATTAAAGACCATTCAAGATCAAACTCTTGCTCATTGTTGACACAATATATTAGTTTGTGGAAAAACCTTGCAAAACTACAACAAAGCAAAAAAATAGCGTTAGTATATAACATAATGTCATATCTACTATGTAATATTATCAGACAAAAAACTTGATAACATTGAAATATATATATATATATATAACGATCATAACTACCTTTCTGTGTATGCTTTACTCAAGTTTTTTTAGCATTCTCCAATATATGCCAAGTGCAAAGTGTATGATATGCGCATGGCATTGTCTGAGCTAGGGCTGAAGATATTGCTCCATCTTGGTCAGTAAAAATTGGTTTTGGATACTTGTTCCCCATGCATTTAATAAAGGTATTGAATAACCATTCAAATGATAATTGTGTTTCATTCAATAGAAGTGCAGCTCCAAATATACAACTTTTGCGATGGTGGTTGAATCCAACAAACACAGCTGAATTGACCAAAGAAAATCAGTATAATTGTTATATAAAATAGTAAAGTGAATGAAAATAATCACATGTTAAAGATATAACCTAACGGCCTGTAGCTTTTATTTGTCCGATACGTGGTGTCAAATGTAACCGAATCTCCAAATATTGAATAGTCTATTCTCATTTGAACATCAGACCAAAATATGTTTGTAATTTTTTCCTCATTGTCCAATGTATATTCATAATAGAAATATGGCTTCTGAAAAGATTGTTGACTAAAATACTTCAAAATTACATCAGCCTCACCTATTAATAAAAATTCAAAGCATTAACCAATAAAATAAATATATTACATAACAAAAATAAATAAATTAGTCTTACCATGCTCTAATGTGCTACTTCTTCTTGTACGTAAATAATTTTTCAAGTCCAATTTGGTGAAGCCCACTAACTTTGATAACCCAGCTGCCCGTTGCATCATATTATATGAAGCCCTTAATGGTAAACCCACATCCTCATTTATTTGAGCTATTAGCTTATGTCCTTCCTCAATTTTCCTATTTGACTTCAGCAAATGCTTATGTTTAGGAGAGTGCATAGCATGATTATGCTCATCCTCAAATTGCGTGACAACATATGTGTCATCTTCTTTATTATACTGCAATTCTATCTTTGCGGGACATCCAGTTCGAGTAACAGGTATATTTCTTTGGCTAGATGCTTGTTTTGTTGATGAAGACTTGAATCCTGCCTTATTGCAACTGTACTGTATATACATAATTTGATCACCTTCTCATTTTTTCTGATAGTTTATTCGCACCGAAAAGCCTTTCAAATGTGCATACTTGGTGTAAGACATGAAAGCATCATTCGGTGTTTCAAATACTCTCGCTTTAAATCCTGTTTATATTGAAAAGATTAGTAATATTAAAATTGATAATTTTGCATGCAATAACATTCATATATATATAAGAATATATATAAGCCATGCATAACAAACCAACCAACAAGTATTGTATGCCAAATAACAAAATTAAATCTATAAATAACAAACTTTAAATCTCACATAACAAATAGAAGCCACAAATATGAACCTTTATAATCATATTACATAAGTTTAAGTAATAATAACAAACTTTAAGTAATAATATAAGATAGTTTGAGTATCTGAGTAACAAACTCAAAGCAACAACTAACAAAAATATGTAACATTTAGATAGATAGTACCATCACTGATCTTGAGATGTGTAATTTGTGTTCTATCTATTGATTCAACTGAAACTTCATCCATATGATGCATTGGATATCCATCCTTACATTGAAATTCATCCATGTGAATTAATTGTGGCTTTTCCTGTCAACACAAGTAACCAACATTGATATTAAAAAGATTTTATTAGTGCAAAAATATGTAAAATTCAGATAGAAGAACTATTAG